CTTGCACGTTTTCCAGCGTTGTTCATGTCCTACGTTTATGACTATATTTTATGTATTTAAGAGCTGATTTCCGCCTTGAAATCCTAGTTTTTGCGAAGTTTGATCGACCGGCTTCGAAGGGTACGATATTTCGGGGCTGTGGTCCCTTGGGATACCTTTGAATTTGTACGTGCTACATATTCGTGGTGCCTCACGAATTATTGTAGCACGAACTATAAGTAGCACTACGGTATTGCTTTGCATGAACAGACGCAGGCCGCCATATTGCAGCGGCAGTGCAACAGGTGCAGCCAATGCATGCTCTCGACGTGGGTCTTGGACATCACGTCCATACTGACATGCAGCAAGCACTGGAGCGTGCACACTCCTACCAAAATGAAACCGCTTTAAGAGCGCTCTCAATGCGATCTTAAGCCATATAAAGCACAAGTTGATGCCGCTGTTAAGAGCGTTCTGAGAACGCTCTTATCTGCCATGTTTTAAGATTGTGCCTTCTCAAGCGTTCTTAAGCAATCTCAAGAGAGCGCTCTTTGCAGGGAATCTCAAGCATTCTCAGCGATCTTACCCGTTCTCAAGGACATTCTCAAACCATTTTCTCACGCATTCTTAAGCAATCTTTCACCACTCTCAAGCATTCTTACACCGTTCTCTCACCATTCTTAAGCATTCTTAAAGCGTTCTCAAGCGTTCTTACACCGTTCTCTCACCATTCTTAAGCGTTCTCAAGTGTTCTTACACCGTTCTCTCACCATTCTTAAGCGTTCTTACAGCGTTCTCAAGCGTTCTTACAGCATTCTCTCACCATTCTTAAGCGTTCTTACAGCATTCTTACACCGTTCTCTCACCATTCTTAAGCGTTCTTACAGCATTCTCAAGCGTTCTTACAGCGTTCTTATAGCGTTCTCACAGCATTCTCAAGCGTTCTTACAACATTCTCAAGCGTTCTCACAGCATTCTCAAGTATTCTTGCAGCGTTCTCAAGCGTTGTTACAGTGTTCTCAAGCATTCCGTCCCCCAGCATTCTTAAACCGTTCTTAAGGGCGCCTTCAAACAGAGGTATGCCCAACAAAAACCTAGGGCCACCATCTCGCTAGAGCCCGATTCTCACAGCAGACCACTTTCCCATTCGGGCAGACACACATATGAGGTCCAGGTCCACCATGCCAGCACTTATACCTACAACATATCTACAATCACACGCTCGATCCATGCTGGAACTGCATATGGTACTGCAGCATACCAAATGAATGAGTGTTATGATGGATCCCTGAACGCGATCACAAGGCCTATGCTGAGGGGCTCGCAACAAGGCGCATGGACAGGACAGCCCAATAGCCAAGTACAGCCCCACACACCGCCTACACTCCCCACACCTAAGGTGGTTCCTAACAGGGCGTGTATCACTCCAAGTCCACCGCATCCAACTGCTTCTTGCTCAGCCCAGTGGTCCTCATGGCCCACTGGACTGCGGTCATCTTGCCCTTGACTGCGAGCAATCCCACAATGGGCCATCACACCTGCAGACAGAAGCAACCAGAACAAAGTCAACACATGTGATGCAGACGTGCTATCACAGCTCAACCTTGATTTACCTTCTGGAAGAGGCGGAGTGGCCGGTCGTTTAGTGCAAAGGACTGGTGTACTGGGATGGCCAGCTAAGGATGGCCGGCCGGACGCGGCCGGCCTCATTGTTCAGCATAAGGCCGTGTGAATTAGCATGCTGTTTTTGTGCATCGGTGAAGATGCTGAGGTAGGTGTCAGGGTCAGGTGCGACCTCCACAGCAGCTTCCACGGCTGCATCATCGTCGGTCCTGGGCCGTTTTTTCTGCACCGCAAGGAGGAAATGGGTTGGGATCGATCCCAGATATCTGTTGCCTTTGCATGCATTCATTTTATTTGCCGACATTGACATGGAGCAAGGCATCCCGTGAAAATGCACGTGATTGCAAACATGAACCTAAGAGAAACACTTGTAACCCAGATCGCGTCAAACAGTATAATTTGGAAAATTGGAATGAGAGAAATGGTCTGCGGTAACCGTATGAAGGGAAATGAATGGTTTGACCCGATCTGGACCCGGTCATACCTTATTGCGGACTGCACCCTCGGCGGCAGCGGCTTTCCTCTTTGTCGCAGCATGCATAGTAGCAATACGTGCTGATTGTCGAGGGTGTCCTTCTTCAGCTCCTCGTTGTGAGCGCTGTTTTGGCGGACGAGATGGAGGCTTGCTTGAAGGCCTGGCGACCTGTAGTCCAAGGCTTGCTAGCTTCTTTAAACTCCTCTGGATGATGAGAGCTCTCTCTTCTTCAAGTGTGTTCCTCAACGACCTTTCTGGGGACACAGACCTCGAGGACCCCTGTCCGCTATTTGGACTATTCTGCCTGGATGTCATCTACAAAATATGAGCACATAGGCTTCGATTCGTTGGTACTGTCCAATTCTGCGAAGTTAAGACCAGGATTCAGCATAATTTTCAAGATGCCGTACACTTCCGGACCAGGGTCCGGAATTGCACGGCATTTCACCTCTTGCTGCCCAGAAGTCATGTGAACATTTGGACAATTTGCAGCACCAATAAGAAACGTCACTGGGTTTAGCACTATGTGATTGCTGTGAAAATGGCACCATCTGGTACCTTTATGCAGATACGCGACCTGTACTTACAGAAGAGACAAATAGGCCAACGCCTTAAACGTGAAGTGTTTAACTTTGCGTGTGAACTTGCACAGTGCCGCGCCGGAGAAACCTTCATAGTTATTGTCGATGGCATTGAGTGGGTTGCTACAGTGCCAAGGCGCAGCAAGCCAGACGATCTCGTATCAATGAGAT